TCGGAGGGCTGGCAGTGATGTTCTCTCTCTCTCTCTCTCTCTCTCTCTCTCTCTCTCTCTCTCTCTCTCTCTCTCACACACACACACACACACACACCCTCCAAGGCAGCTACAAGGCAGGAGAAACTTTCTGACAGTGAGAACAATCAACCAATGGAACAGAAGTTGCCCTTGGAAGTCGTGGGAGAGCCATCACTTGAGACTTTCAAGAAGAGATTGGACTGCCATTTGTCAGAAATGGTGTAGGGTCTCCCGCTTGGGTGGGGGTTTGGACTAGATGACCTACAAGGTCCCTTCCAACTCTGATTATCTGTTATCTGTTATTCCTAACCTGCTTTTCAGCTCTGTTCCCAAGGGGGGGGGAGGGACAGTATCCTGTGAACCCAAATAAAGAACGATCAGTCAGTAGAAAAATGGGGTGGGGGATTTTCCTGCAAACTTTTTTTGGGATTTTCCCAGAGTCTCTGCAGAAAAAGCAGAAGCAGCCTGGATTAATTGCTTTGGGGGAGGGGGCTTTGGGGTGACATTTCTCTGCCGACCACCAAAATTTTCTCGCGGACCATCAGTGGTCCCTGGCTCACTGGTTGGCGACCACTGCTCTAGAAGGTGAGCAGGATTTTGTCAAGTTCTTGAAGGTCAACTCTTCTCAGAGCTATAATTTGCACTGCAAAGTTGAAATAATTCATCTAATCACATTGTTGAGTTCACCACAGGAGAGGTTTTACCGCTCTTACCGCTAGTTTCATACTGTCAAAATCTGAAGATTAGGATGTATATGATGAAAAAATCTACATTTCTTTTCCACTCCCAGGAATTTTCCACCTAACACAAGAAATTCACTGTGCTGGTTGTTTCACCTAACTCTTGTCTGTTGGCAGGATTTATTGGGCCACTTTTATAGATCACCTGTTTCAAAATTGTTGAGCTGGATCTAAGCACCTTTTTAGAATGCAGAATACCTTCAGGAAGCTTATTAAACTCCTTCTCTGGCTATTAAAAAAAAAATCTTGTCTGTAGCTTTTTATTTTGGATTGTTGCTCCATCTTCCAAGCCTTCTGATCTTTCTTCCCCTTAAGAATTTCAAAGAAAGGGGTGAAATGTTGCATCTCGGAGTCTACGGAAGAGAACAGAAATGAGATCAATAAGGTGTTTCTTTAGTTTCTAGCAAGTTACCAGAGACAGAAAAATAATGAAAAGGAAACTTTCCCATGTATGTGGCTCTAACATTTCAATATTAAGAGGCAGAAGCTCCATTAGTGAAACAAAATGTAAAGAAAAGACAAAATCTATACTTTTGCTTTACTGGAATGCTGTGTCAATCAACATCAATTTCTGCTGTTTCTGGCTGGTCTTCGGTCTTCTGAAGATGGAAAAAATGGATTTATGGGCACTCATTATATATAAAGGCAGCCCATGACTCTTTGAAATGCTCTGTTTGAATCAAGGAAATGACTCAGAGGATGTGATCCCTTTGAAATGACCACTGGGAGAAAAATATATCTTTAACTTGGTTATCCAAACAGGTAGCTTGGGATGGAGAGGATGAAGGCGTTCTCATCCTATCTTCTTTACTTTCTTTCTTCTTTCTTCCCTTCCATCCCTCTCTTCTTTCTTTTTCTCTCTCTCTTTCTTTCTTCACTTTTCTTCCCTTCCATCCCTCTCTTCCTTCCTTCCTTCTTTATTTCTTTCTCTTTTTCTTTCTTTCTTTCTTCCCTCCCTCCCTCTCTCTTCTCTCTCTCTTCCCTTTCCTCCCCTTCCCTTCCTCTCTCTTCTCTCTCTCTCTTTCTCCCCCCCTCCCCCCCTCTCTCTTTCATCTCCCAAGCACTCGTGCTCTGAAGGATGAATCAGAAAAGCACAAAATTCTTTGCTCTTCAGAAAATAGGTCTGGAAAATATCTTCCTTGCTGGGAGGGGAGGGAGTGCTCAGAATCCTCTAGGAAAATCTCAACCTGTCTGATGGTAGTGAAATCAGACAGGAAAATAATTTCATGGCATTTCTCCAAGGGGAGGAAAAATTCTCCATCTCAGGGAAGGGGTGGAGCAGATTATAAATGCAACTGCTGCTTCTTTCTTTTCCTGAAGGCATTTCACTGAAGCGGGATTAGGAAATGACCGCTCTCAAATTTAAGCAGAACATCGAGTGCCTTGGCATAGGGGAGAAAGTGCCTAGAGACAATTATATAGTCACTAGAGACAATTAGCCACGGTGGCGCAGTGGTCAGAGTGCAGTACTGCAGGCTACTTCTGCTGGCTGCCGGCTGCCTGCAATTTGGCAGATCGAATCTCATCAGGCTCAAGGTTGACTCAGCCGCAGTGCATAAAATGAGGACCTGGATTGTTGGGGGCAATAGGCTGACTCTTTAAACCATTTGCAGAGGGCTGTTAAAGCGCTGTAAAGTTGTATATAAGTTTACGTGTTATTGCTATATAGTCAACAGCACTCATCCTGGAGCCAGATAGGTAGGTCAATTCAGCTGGGTGGCCAATTTCAAGGGCACCATTTAAGATGAGGGGGTTTAACCTGAGGGTACTCTGAGCCAGGCAGAGGCCTGCAAAGTAGGTTTCTTGATCTTTCAAGCAGTCACCAAGAAGGAATCCATCAGCTTCAGGATTGGGATGTGGGCATTTGTGCTGTGTGTAGAGGATGCAGTCATTGGGTCCAATTTGGCACTGAGGTTTCCTTTCAGGGATTGATTTTTTCCCCTTTTAAATTAGACTTTGAGGTGTTCTTCATGCTTTTCAACATTGTGTACCCCACCCTCCTTAAGTTGAGGTGTGCCTGTCTCTCTTGCAATGCAGATGCAACCGGTGACTCAGCTCCCAGGCAGGGGTGGGATTCTACCAGTTTGCACCTATTCGCTAGAACCAGTTGTTAACATTCTAAGCAGTTTGGAGAACCGGTTGTTAGAAGAAATTACTGGCCTAATCCTGTAAGGAAGGCAGGAAGGAAACATTCTGGTGTTGCTTATAGAGACTGCCTCTCCATTAACCCTTATTACATTCTTGGCAGGACTAGACTTCCTGTCTCAGGAACGTCTCTGGAGTTTTTTTCCCCTCCTTTGCTGATACTTGTGTGGAGTGACCATTCAAAGTTCCAATGGCACTGAAAAAAGTGACTTATGACCATTTTTCATACTTACGACTATTGCAGCATCCCCACAGTCATGAGAGGCCAGATGAGGAGATGCGTGCCTCGATGTGAGTGATGTTGAGCTGGCCATGCCCAGCCAATATCATGACCACCAAGCCACGTCCATCCAGTCACATGACCACCAAGCCACACCCACCAACTAAGCCACGCCCACAGAACTGGTTGTTAAAAAAATTGAATCCCATCCCTGCTCCCAGGTACTTATCTTGGTCCACTGGACCATCTCTCTCTCTCTTTCTCTCTTGCACACACGCGTATGCATGCACGCACACATGCACACTCTATTTGTATGCCATCTGCTTTATGAAGTCTGTCTGTCCCTACCTACATCTCTCTGTCTGTATCTATCTCTCTGTTTGTATCTGTCTCTCTGTCTCTCTCTCTTCTATCTATCATTTATCTATCTACATCTTTTCATTAGACAAGGCATCCCCAATTCCTGCAACAGTTCCTTATATGTTTTAGCCCCCAAATCATTCAGAACAGAACAAAATAACATAGTTGGAAGGGACCTTGGAGGTCTTCTAGTCCAACCCCTGCTCAAGCAGGAGACCCTGTATCATTTCAGGCAAATGGCCGTCCAATTTCTTCTTAAAAACTTCCAGTGTTGGAGCATCCACAACTTCTGGAGGCAAGTCGTTCCATTGATTAATTGTTCTCACTTGTCTGGACATTCCTTCTTAATTCTGGATTGGTTCTCTCCTTGGTTAGTTTCCATCCATTGCTTCTTGTCCTGCCTTCAGGTTCTTTTGGCACACGGGCCACTACCTTGGTCCCCAGGACTTCATCTCAGTCCTCATGAACTCACAGTGTGCATCTCTTCCCAGCAGTCTTTGGTCCTATGTAAATGTATTGCAGATGCGAACAGCAACTCAGCTCCCAGGTACCTACCTTGCTCCACTGGACCACCTCTCTCTCTCCCTCTCCCTCTCTCTCATTCTCTCATATTCTTATTTGTGTCCCACTCTCCTTATGCTGGCCTAAAATCATAATAAATATTGCATTAACAGATTAACGGAGCTGGAAGGGACCTTCTGGTTATCTAGCAGGAGGACCCTACACCATTTCTGAAAGGTGGCAGTCCAGTTTCTTCTTGAAAGCTTCCAGTGATGAAGACTTTTGAAGGCAAACTGTTCCATTGGTTGATTGTTCTCACTATCAGAAAATTTCTCCTTATTTCCAGGTTGAATCTCTCCTTGTTCAGTTTTCATCCATTATTCCTTGTCTGGCCTACAGGTGCTTTGGAAAATAGCTTGACCCCTTCCTCCTCTCTGTGGCAGCCGCTCAAATATTGGAAGACTGCTATCCTGTCTCCCCTGGTCCTTCTCTTCACTAGACTAGCCATGCCCAGTTCCTGCAACCGTTCATCGTATGTTTTAGCCTCCACTCCCCTAATCATCTTGGTTGCTCTTCTGGGCACTCTTTCTAGAGTCTCAACAAAATCTTCTGGATTGTCACCAGAAGATTGATTGATTGTTTTCCTGAAGTTCTCCTGACCTTTTACTGTTTTAAGTATCAGTGTTACCAACTGGTTTGGCAACCAGATCACTACTTGTAATCTTCAAACTTCCTTGGAAAGAAAGTCATTCTGGAGCCTTGTGTAGCTAGCTGGCGATGGGGAAATGGCTGCTGTCCAGAGAAAATTCTGCAGACAGTAACTGGCTTTCTGTAGAGGAGCACTTTGGAGATTTCTTTAAAAAGAAAATGGGGCTACAGATCCAGCTCTGAAAATTAACAGGTTTTGCAGGGACAAGCTTGGACATTTTGCTGCTGAAATAGAACACCAAAGGTTTCCTTCCCCTTCGCCCAAACCTGCATCAAAATAAACACAGTATTTTGCTAATGGCAGTGAAACATCTCCCTTCCTGGCAATAAAATGCAACAAGATTGTAAACAGCTAAAACTGAGATTTCCAGCCCTAAGCCCTTAATTAACCGAGTGAGAAAACTGATTCCATCTGGCTAACGTTTGGATTAAGCCCTCGTGATGGTACTCAGCTTAGGTTTAAATGGAACATAAGAATGAATGTTCCTTTTTTAGACAAAGCAGCAAGAAAGGGAAAAACCCAAGCAAATGCTTAAAACAAGTATGTCAAGGGGAAAAACAAGAATAGTGTTTCTGTCCTTCCAGATATTCAGGCACTCTGTGTTAGCATCCTTACAGCTTTTGCATTAAGGAAACAGAATACTAAACAATAACATTGTTTAATATGTGTATCTTGAGGACAAGTATGTTCAAACACTAGGCTGAGGGTTGTTGTTTTTATTTATAATTGGGGGAGTTTGTTGTTTTTAAAAGGAGAATTCTGACTTTCTGGTGGTAAGTTTATTTTTCTGATGGGTTGAAGGTAGTAGGGTTTCTTTTAAGGGCTAAAATTAGAAAAAGAATGGGAGGGAGGGAAGTAAATGGAGGGGAAAGAAAGAAGAGAGGAAGGGAGGGAGGGTAGGAGGAAGGGAGGAAAGGAGGAAAGAAAGAAGATTAATGGGAAGGTAGGAAGAAAGGGAGGAGGGGAAAGAAGTGAGGAAAGGAGGGAGGGAGGAAAGGAGGGAGGGAGGTGAAAGGAGGGGAAGGAAAGAAGGGAGGAAATAAGGGAGGGAAAGAGGAAGGAAGGAAAGAAAGAAAGAAAGAAAGAAGGAAGGAAGGAAGGAAAGATGGATTCAATACTGTTTCTTTCTTGCAGGATTCCTGTAGAGAACTCAACTCAGATTGATTTACTGAATGGAGCAGATTTTATGCAACATACAAGGGCTATTCGATTTCCTAAAAGCAGACAGGGTCAGGATCCAGGGAAAGGGACCTGAGTTTTAAAGGATGAACGGTGATGCTCATCTTTCCTAAATTTCAGCCTCTTCCCCTCCCTCAAATGGAAAAAAGGCTGAAATATTTTGCGCCATTCACCAGGATGTTCTGGGAGCTGAACTCACCTCCCAAGTCGGTTTTTGCATTCTGATGGAAAGACTTAGAGAAATGGAAGATATTTCAAATGGCAGCTAATCTCACAAGATATCCAAACACAGAATTAGGAATGCACTTTTCAGTGGAAGGAGATTGTTTGTATACCTAATTACAGTTTGGTGTTTGAGTTTGCTTGTTTGTTTTTTTACTACTTGATAATAATGCACTCTGGACACATCACAGAGCGGAGAATGCAGTATTATACTTGACCCTTCCAATTCTGTTAATCTGTAATTTCATTCAGTTCCCATACTGGAAAAATCCAACATAGAACAGTGTATTTACTGCACCACTCCTTAAAAATACATGTTCATCTACTGAATGAGATCTGCAACATGGACTTTGCCATAGTACGATGTACCTGTATTTTTGGTGTGTGTGTGTGTGTGTGTGTGTGTGTGTGTGTGTGAGAGAGAGAGAGAGAGAGAGAGAGAGAGAGAGAGAGAGAGAGAGAGAGAGAGAGAGAGATGTTTATTACAAATGAGGTTGAAAAAAGAATGTTCCACTTCAGAAAATTGCATGCACAAACTGGATAGTTGGTAACAGAATAACAGAATATCAGAGCTGGAAGGGACCTTGGAGGTCTTCTAGTCCAACCCCCTGCTCTGGCAATAAACCCTGTACCATTTCAGACAAATCATTGTCCAATCTCTTCTTAAAAACCTTCAGTGTTGGAGCACCCACAATTTCTGAAGGCAAGTCATTCCACTGATTAATTGTTCTAAACATCAGGAAATTTCTAGCTTGCTTCTCTCCTAGATCATCCATTGGTTCTTGTCCTGCCTTCAGGTGCTTTGTAGAATAGATTGACCCCCACCTCTTCTTTGTAGTAGCTCCTCAAATATCAGAACATTGCTACTGTGTCACCCCTAGTCCTTCTTCTCATTAAACTAATGGTGAAGTAAAGGTAAAGGTTCCCCTTGCGCATATGTGCTAGTTGTTTCTGGCTCTAGGGGGTGGTGCTCATCTCTGTTACAAAGCCAAAGAGCCAGCGCTGTCGGAAGACGTCTCCGTGGTCATGTGGCCGGCATGACTAAATGCCGAAGGCGTATGGAACACTGTTACCTTCCCACCAAAGTGGTCCCTGTTTTTCTCCTTGCATTTTTTACATGCTTTCGAACTGCTAGGTTAGCAGAAGCTGGGACAAGTAACGGGAGCTCCTTCCATTACGTGGTGCTAGGGATTCAAACCACTGAACTGCCGACCTTTCTGATCGACAAGCTCAGCGTCTTAGCCACTGAGCCACCACGTCCCTTTCATTAAACTAGCCATACCCAATTCCAGCAACCATTCTTCATTTTGAGGTGTCTGAAAAAACAGATCACATCGGGAAATATCAAAGAAGGCCACATACAGAAAGGGTTTCAACCTATTCAGGGATGTGCATAATTGGCTGTCATGCAGTCAGAGTCTTCTTCTTCTTCCCTTTTGTCTTTAGCAGCAAAATTTTCTGCATCAGACCATTGAATCGTGGACTAAATTATCTTGAAGTCCATTCAAACCTCATCCCTCCATTCTATGTTTGCTGGGAGACATCTCTGATTGCTTTTTAAAAGCATTTCTAAAACTCACTTGCTATATTGCTTCTCTCCATCCCTCCTCCTCCTCCTCAGTGGTGGGATTCAATTTTTTTTTAATATCGGTTCTGTGGCCGTGGATTGGTGGGTATGACAGGGGAAGGATACTGCAAAATCCCATTCCCTCTACAACCCACTAACCTGCTTTCCAGCTCCGTTCTCCTATGCAGGGCAATAAAAGAAGACCCAGCTAATCAGCTGGGACTTGGGAAGCAGAGAATAGATGAGGGCGGGGCCAGTCAAAGGTGGGATTTGCCGGTTCTCCAAACTACTCAAAATTTCCGCTACCGGTTCTTCAGAACCTGCTGAATACCACCTCTGCTCCTCCTCCTCCTCCTCCTCCTCTTCTTCCACCTCCACCCGTTTCTTTTCCAAAATTGTAACGTAGGAAAGAGGAGATGGCAGAACAAAGAAGAGGAATCCAGACTGTCCTCGACTTAAGATCTCAATTGAGCCCAACATTTCCGTTGCTGAGCAAGACATTTGTTGGGTGAGTTTTCCCTCTTTTTACGGCCTTTCTTGCCACAGTTGTTAAGTGAATCCCTGCAGCTGTTAAGGTAGTAACATGGTTGTTCAGTAAATTTGGCTTCCCCGTTGACTTGGCTTGTCAGAAGGTTGATCACGTGACCCTGGAGCATTTTATATGGGAGGTCATGAAAGTTTTACTCACTTCTTTGTTGTAAGAATGAGGATAAAGTTTGAGGACAAAGTATACAGTTTGCTGGTATTTACATGGTACCTGGTAATGTGGTTGTCCTCAAGATCACCTAATTTAGGTAATTAATTGCAGAGAAAGCCATTTTCTTTCTCCTCCTCCTCCTCCTCCTCCTCCTCCTCCTCCTCCTCCTCCTCCTCCTCCTCCTCCTCCTCCTCCCTGCAAACCCTACTCTAGCACCAATGATGTTACCTAGCTGGGTCTTGAAACATCTGCAAGAAAATCACATCAGAGAGCACCAAGAGCCCTACAATCCTCCTCCCCCCCCCATTTTCCTCCTCTGGAGTAACTCTGCTTCATAAGAGAAGCATTCTGGAGATTCAAAAATTCCCTTTTGAGGGAAGGAGTTGGGGTTGCTTAGGAGAATGGATCCAAATATGGGACAGAAGTTGAAAGGGTCAGATGCAGGGGTGGGATTCAAATGGTGTAACAACCAGTACGCGCACTTTGCCCACGTACAGTGTTTGAAAACCACCCATTTTCAGCTCTAATACTTACCTTCGGTTGCAAGCCCCGGTGAGTATAAAACAGCTGAGGTGCAGCAATCCGCTTTGCCGCGCGAATGAGCTGAGCTGCAAAACACGAAAATAAAGGACAGACTAGGGCAGGAGCAGGTGGGTGGGGCCAAATGATCGCCGGAACTACCGATTCACTTGAACCGGTGCAAACCAGTAGAATCCCACCCCTGGTCAGATGAATCTTTTTTTTATTCAGGGTATGAAAGTATCTGACTCAAATACGGTATGAATTCAAGAGCTGTTTCCTCACATCTTTGGGTTTAGAAGGACATTGTCTTTAAGGGACTAAAAAAGAATTGAAGCTACATATATTATAGCTATTATGTAGAAAGGACCTTCTAAAATGATCTTCTAAGATGATCGCTTCTTCAGGCAAGGGTCTTCAAACCTCCACAAACAAATGGCTTTCTAATCTTTATTTGAAAACCTCCAAGGGACGCAGCATCCACATTTCCAAGACCCAGGCTCTTTCTTATTTTTCCATAATAAAAACCCTTCTCTTGTTCAATTTGAATTTCTCTCTATAATGCTTTTCCCTGTGCGTTTTTTTTTTTGTCCTACCCTCAGGCACTGTAGAAAATAAACCCACATCTTCTCCGTAAGAGGCCTGCAAGCATTGGAAGACTGTTATCGTGCTTTCCTTTAGGTTTCAGGGTTTAGCTTATTTGAAAGACTTATACGAGGACCCTTCGCAGGGTTGCATTAAAGGGTGATTTAAAGCTATAGCACGTCTCATTGATTTGAGCTGCAAAGAGCAATAAGGTGAGAGATTATCTATCTATCTATCTATCTATCTATCTATCTATCTATCTATCTATCTATCTACCCCTCTCTCTCCATCCATCAATCCACTTATCCACTCATCCACCCACCCACCCACTCATCCATTTGCCCACCCACTTGCCTGCCCATTTATCCACCCACCATCCATCCATTTGCCCACCCGCCTGCCTGTCCACCCACCTACCTGCCCGTTCACCCACCCATCTGCCCATCCATCTATCCAGCCAGCCAGCCAGCCACCCATCCAGCCACCTACCCATCTGTCCATCTGTCTG